TGTTTTGGTCATGTCCCGCCCTGACTGCCTATTGGGCTGGAATTTAAAAAATATTATCGGATGCTCTCAATGTATATCTTCAGCCTGATGCATTCACAGCTATTTTTGGTGTCTCTGATGTTAATTGCTTAAGGAAAAAAATATAAAGATATCATCGCATTTACAACTCTGTTGGCATGTAGAAGAATATTACTCCACTGGAAATCAGCAAACGCTCCGAGATTGTCCTTATGGCTGACTGATCTGTCTCAATTAATGCATTTAGAAAAGATCAAATATTCAGTTATGGGGTCCAGGGATACATTCTTCTCTGTTTGGGGTCCGATTTTGTCTTACTTGGGTAAGATTAAAACTATGCCCACTATTTCATAATGGTAGTCCTTTTTTTTTGAGGGGGTGGTGGAAGGGTGTCCCAGGTTTACTGTTTACAGTAATTTTGCTCTTTTTCAGACTCTAACTATTTAGGATGATATTGGAGAAGTTTGTTGTTTGTATCCACTTTCTATTTATGTATTTTTACGTGTATATGTGTGATTATAAGTGATAATGTACATCTTTGTATGTATGTTTGGGAATGGATACATATAGGCCAACAATGTACACAGCTTCCCCTTTTAGTTATTATCTCTGTAATTTTTTACTAGTATTTTTTTTTTTGGCCCATGTGAGCGAACCCCATGTTATGGGGAGGGGTGGGGGGTTGTTTGCTGTTCATATGGTGTTAAAGGGAAAAATAGGGAAATGTCTGCCAAATGCTCATTGTACTCAATCTTATTGACATTTCACATTAAAAATATATAAAAAATAATAAAATAAAATAAACGAATAAGTGAATGTAAATTAATCTTTCTATTAATCTTATCAAATGATTACTAATGATTACTACATTAATAGTTTAGGAGCAGACCTTAACCAAATTTTTATATAATGCTACTGCTGGCACTATAACAGGGTTGTCAATTTTGGTCAGCTGGCTGGGGTAAAACGTTCAATTTGAGAAAAGTCTGCACACACTTTTTACATTTACATGCATGTAACAGTTACCTTGTAGATACTCAGTAGGGTTTGCAAACTACCCCTACGCTTTTGATGTAGCTAATCTTAGATTTATGCAGTATAATCCCGTTATAGTGGACTCACTTATAACAGAATATCATCTATAACGGACAAGGTCCGCTGGTCTCGGCCGTGCACCTTTACGAACACTTTTACGAACATGCACAAAAAGCATTGGATATAGTGGACTCACATATAACGGAATTTCGCTTATAACGGACAAACAATTTGGTCCCCAGGGCCGCTTTTAGCTATAGTTTTGTTCGGCTATAACAGACATGCAGGCTCTGCCTACAAGGCGCGTGGTGTGCTGGTGATATCCAGTGCAGATACATAGTCGGGATTATAAATAGTCACGCTTTATAAATAGGCATGGCGTAACAGCAGGCAACACTGTTTGGTCTGTGTGGCTGTCCGTCACCAGGCATGCTGTGCATCGACAGACGTTGCTCGCAGCTGGAGGGATGCAGTAAGCAATGAGGTCAAGGTTACTACTGTACCGTACATGTATAACCCCTTATAGGCCATATATACTTCCAACAGTCAGGTAAAGTTGGATTACTACATGTAGAATATAATAATCTATACCACAAGTGTGTCTGCTGGGGTGTGGCATGAGTAAATGGTGTCCTGTAGTTGTATTCTGGGCATACATAACTCTGGATATAACGGACTTTGGATATAATGGACTGTTTTGCCAGATCCCTTAAAGTCCATTATAACAGGATTGTACTGTAATGGAATAATACAGATTTGCCATAAGATTTCTTGAGTGAACGTGAGTGTCTGAAAGTGTATCATGCCAGATGTGTGAAAGTTGGCAACCCTGTTATGAGTAATGGTTAATTCACTACATTTTATGTTTTTAAACTCATGGTTGCGGAGGCATTATTTTCACTTTTACAAAAATAAATAGCATTTATTGGTAGAACTAATTTCTTAGTAGAACACTTTGCCTGGATATGACCCAAGCCATTATGGGTAATTTGAAAACTGTCCATTGCCAAGACCATCGTGGAAGCTGAAAAAAGTTCCAAAATGCTACTGACAGGAGAAGGAAAAAAGCAACCTAGCGCAACCTCATTTTTCTTTTTTATTTCTTTTGATCAAGCAAAGGGAGAGTCTATCACGATCCTGAGAATAGCATCTCTCATGACATGATTTACACAATTATTATTATATCATGATTAATCAGGAAATCACATTTTATTGGTTAGCCCACAAATAATTCAACACTAACACTCTTTAGGTGTCAGCTCAGTAAAATTATATTTTCCAGCATAAAATGGAGCAAAAGTCAAGCTAAAGGATTAAATTAGATACATAGAATAAATGCTGAAAAATAAATGTAGGTGTCACGCCCCGCTCCGCCAGCTAAAAGAGAAGCGGCTCCAGCCTCTCGCCTGCACGGCGGTAACTCCGCCCCCTCCTTTCGGTCCCGCACGGCGAAAGAAGAAGAGGCGAAGGGGAAAAGGGGAAGAAGCCGCCCCGACGCTCTTCCTAAGAGCCTGCTCTCTTCTCCCTGCCTGGGACGACATCGCTGCTGCTGGCCTGGCCGGCTTCCATGCGGAGAAGCCACCTCCGTTGGAGGCTTATTTCTATCGGCCGGAGCGCCTGGGTCTCGGTGGGATACGCGCCGTGAGAGACTCTA